TTACTAGAGCAGAGGCACACAAAAACTTGCAATCAAAAGAAAATAAAGAACAAGAAACTACAGAAAACTAGTAAATAATTAAGTGGCACGTGAAAGAAACTTCAATAAAGTGGGCCCAGGCTTTTCATAGTTTTCCTTTCTCCAACAAGAAAAAGGGTTCAGGTTTTGGGTTGTGTTTTCTTTTTCAGAAACAAAAATTTACAACTGTATGTTCTTCTTGTGTTTATTTTTTGGGTGCTGCTGCTGGTGAATATTTTATGGCCTGGCACAGTTGTTGTTGCTGCTCCTCTCTGACATTAATTTATTATTCATTTGATGAGCGGGGCCATGTGTAGCTGTTACTGCCTTCTTCGTAACCGTTTCCGTATCCGTAATTGCAAACGTGTAATGGTTTATCATTTCCCTTGCTCTTCCCCACGGCCAGGTCAAGGACGTAACTCGGAACATTAAGAAGGCTGTCTGCGCCTCCAGTCTGGAGGAGATTCGCAGCAAGGTGGCGGAGAAGTTCGAGAAGTCTGACCACCTGCCCACCATCCACCTGGACTCCGATGGCACGGAGATCGATGATGAGGAGTATTTTCGCACGCTGGATGAGAATACGGAGCTGGTGGCTGTTTTTCCTGGCGAGCATTGGATTGATGTGAGTCTTAAATCTAAATATACTTTTTAAGAACTTAAATTAAAAAGTTTACCTACTTTTCACTTAAAGAAATACCCCTTAAATTCCATTTAAAAAAGGATAACCCTACCCTAATTTCCATTTTCTCCCAGTGACTAGCACTTAATTGGATAATTCGTTTTATTTGTGTCCCTCTTTTATCTGCCATAATGACTAATTGCATTATTCTCGGAATGCCAGGACGCTGGGTTGCTCGTGACCAGCAGGAACCGAGAGCTTGAGAGATTAAATTAAACGTTATCTCCACTCTGTTTACAGCCCACGCACTACGTGACCATAACCACTCCGCATGGCACCGATGTTGGAACCGGAAATGGAGACCCCGCCGGCGGTGGAGGAGGAGCAGGAGGTGAGGGCGATACCACCGATGCCAGCAACTCGGAGTCTGCTCGCATTCGTCAGCTGGTGGGACAGTTGCAGAATAACCTTTGCAATGTGTCCGTGATGAACGATGCGGACCTGGACTCGCTGTCCAACATGGATCCCAATTCGCTGGTGGACATCACGGGTAAGGAGTTTATGGAGCAGCTCAAGGATGCGGGAAGGTAAGAGAGAGGAAAGGGAACTTTTGGGGAAACTATATTATATTAATTTCATTTTATTTCCTCCTTAGACCCCTTTGTGCCAAGCGCAATGCCGAGGATCGCTTGAATCTGCTGAAGCTTCTTAAGGCTGGAGCCATCTTCTGCTCGGAACGCTATCCCGAGGATGCGGAGGCCATTGATCGGGAGATTGGGCGACAGTTAAATGAGGCGGAGAATGGACAGATGAGCACCACGGCGACCAGCAATACTCGAACCATCGAGGTGGTGCAGTGCGACAATCAAAATACGACGATAACCATCACGGTGGGTGAGGCCACCAGCACATGCGTAACCACCAGCGGTGGCTCCGCCGCCGAGGTGGCGGCCAACGAGGCCAATGCCAATCTAAACGGAAATGCTAATGCCAATGGCGACATCTGACTGCCCATCTTGGGCAGCCTTAGGTGAAGTCTGCCGGCCCAGGATTAAAGGCAGCGGATCAGAGCGAATCAAAAGCATGGAGGATATACCATATATACCATACCGACGACATCAGTCCTGCAACATTGGGTTAACATAAATCGTATTTGTAGCATGTAATTAGGCACTGCGAACTCTGCAAACGAAACGAAGACGGAATCAATCGAGAACAAAGTCACACAATGCTTCATAGTATCTAAGCGCAAATGAAAGTTAACGAACAAATACACGTACTAGAGTTAAAGGTAAAGGTCAAGATTTGAGATTTGAGATTTGAGCAGAGTGTTTTAGCAATCACAGTCAAACGGAGAAACGTATTAGAACTTATACACACAGCCACACAGAATCGCAATAGAAGAACTATATACACACATATAATCAAAGGTTAGCACAATAAGTATTATATTTGAGATAGAGAGACCCAGGCAAAGGAAACCCGAGTTGAACCCGAATCGGATGGAATGTCCCAGGAATCCAGGAATCCTTTGATTTGCTTGTCGTGTGAATTGTGTTTAGAGGTGAAGTAGAGTTAGAACGAGGAGACGCACATCAAAAATTGTTTTTAGACCAATGCCATTGTGAATGTCATTCGTTAAAGGCCAATTGAGACTGACTGTATTTTATGTGTAATAGGTTTTTTCGTGGTTTGTGAGAGCGGCTTGCGACGAGTTTTGAGACGCTTCGAACGCCCCTCCTAGCCCCGCCTACCCTCTCTCCAAACCAAACCGGTAGCCAAATGAATTTAAGCCAACAGCAAACATTGTTAGCGTATTAAATTAAACAATAAAGAAACCCACACAATAAAGCAAGGGAAAATCACCATTGCCGTTGCCCCCTAATTGAAGTTGGTAACCTGTCTACAATTCGAATAAGCAATAATGGGAAACCGAAACCCAAAAACCCAAAAAAATAAATAAAATCAAAACCGAATGCAAACAGAAAACAATTATTAAATCTAGTGAAAAAAGCATACATCATACAGCATACAAAACAGGCAAACTATATACACGAACTAAAAGTAATAAATAAATGAATATTAAAGCCACGTTGATTGAACTAAACTTGGGGTGGCGTACGGGGCGTATGAGCAACGTACGCGGCGTGTGCAACAGGGCGTATGCTTGCTCTTCTCGCTGGCAAAAGAGAGTTTTTCGCAAGAGCACAACAGAGAGAAGAACCGGGGCCACCGTAGTCCTTTCTTCTAATTGCATTACTCACACCGACTCTCGACTCGACTCGAATCGACTCTTCCTTCGTGACGTCACAGCGCCATGACGTTTGCAGGTCCTGGCTAGCTGACATCCAAGCGCTGCCCTACTAACACAGTTCAAAGCTCCCGGGTGTGACCCAAATTCATGACGACAGCGAACACCTCACAGCGCCCCCTTTCTTCTTCTTCTTTGGCATTTCTGTGGGCGTGGCCTCTGGCTTTGATGAATTGAATTTGGCTTTGTGGTAGAGAAGCTTCCTCCAGCTCGTGCATATTTCAAAATGTTCCCCTTATTAACGCAGAAACCTTTTTAATTTGTGTTCTCAGCAAATGGCTTTCTGCTCGGGGTCCTTTGTGGGGCAAAGCATCGAGCAGAAAGCGCACAAAAAAATATTAAAAATGTAACCGAAAACGTTTGTCTGGCTCTGGCTGCTTTTGATGTGCCGTGTGGCAAATGTGCGGCCAAGAAATTGTCACACAACACGGATTTCCTTTGAACTTGCCAACAGCAGCGGGAGACATTTGACACTTAATCGAAACCAATCAGAGAAGGAATTAGGATTTTGGGAAAATATATAATATATATTCCTAAAAGAGAAAGGTCAGGAAAATAAGTAATGTTTTTAAAAAACGACGACTTACCTGCACTGATTTCAGAAGCATCCTAGTATATAATGCTTAATTTTTAAATTATAATAACTAATGTTCAAGGCTCATTAACTCCCCAGATAGTTTTCCCCTCTTAAGTTTCCTTCTCCCTCAAAAATTTCTTTGGAATTTCTGTAGTTTTGTAATCCAAAAGCACTCAATGCTGGATTAATTTTCGATAAATATCAAATCAGATTCCAGCACTTTATTTCACCGCCATTCATTCATCATCATTATTTCTTAATCCGCTCTTCGGCGCTTGTTGCACACAAGCGACACGAGGGGAAAATGTGAGGGGGGTTTTTTCCAAAGGCACAAATGTCAAAAGCATTGATGGAGGCAACGGCAGGGGGCGTGGCCGGGTAAACAACATATCGAGTGAAGTCTCTAACGAGTCGCTTTTCTACCAAACGAGCACATAATTCTCTACAATTTTTGCTGCTTGCCTTTTTATTTTGTTTATTTTTTTTCTTTGCTTTTATATATGTACACATTTCCCCCGAAATAAATGTCAAGGCTAGGGTAAGGAGGGGTTCGAGTATCCTTAGCGGGGGGTGCGGGGGTCACATGGTAAGCAGTCGCCGCTGGCTGTTGGGCATGAGCTTGTGAGTGTTGCACATAAACAAGGCGCTGTGTGTAATAGATGCCGCCGCAATGGGCATTACTAATGCGCCCCGTGGCACATTTTCTTCTACAAGCGAATGGTGTGGGAGGGAGGGGAGGTATGTGGCGCCGATGCATGGGTGTGTGTGTGTGCGAGTCCTGTGGGCGGTTCATAATTGTGCAGCCAGAGCCACAGGCAGCCGCAAACTGCTGCTTAGATTGCCTCATTTGGATGTTTGCTTATGCCACCCCGGAAGTTATTATGGGCAAGGAAACAGGTTCACCGGAAAAAAAAATATATGTTTATGTTGGAATTATTGGGAATTCTTTAATATAAAAAACCCTATTGTATAGTATTTTGTATACAATTCCAGGATATTCAGAAGCTTAAAACATATTAAAGGAATCGTTTTCGACCCTATAAAGCATATATATTCTTGATCAGCACAAACAGCAGAGTTGATCTAGCCATATCCGGGAGAAATTTTTTTTTTTTTAATTTTAAAAATTTTTTAAGGGGTTACATCGTTTAAATTGTTAAAAATTCAAAAAATTTTAATTTTTTAAAATCTTAAATTCAATATGCTGATATTTTAAGCTAATAAATACTTGCACAAAAAAGTTTTGTGATTTAAAATTAATGCATTTTTGACTAAGTTATAAATATAAATAAATATAAATATATATAACAGGACCTTTCCTTTACCCTATGCTAATTTTTTAAGCAGAACTTCCTACAACTTGACTTATTTTAAAAATATCTTTAATACTTATTTTGTTTTTACTTGGTCTTAAAATATTTAAAGTTAACATAATTTTTTCCCATTTAATTTCATTTTTATCAGTGTACCTTGCCCCCAGTCACGGAGCCAACTGTCAGTAATGAAAATTTAAGCAACTTTGGCAAACACAAATATGAAATTAACCATTTTGTTTATCGTGATGCAGTTGTTGACGCTGCAGGTTATCCAAGGGAACGACCTTTGGCAGAAGCAGCAGGAGGAGAAGGTGGAGCGGCGTCAGGAGATGGCTCTGTACCAAGAGGGGGAGCTCCAAGAGTTGGCTCATCCATTGCTGACACCATGCATGCGGCAATGCGTTAAGGACATGATTCCAACCACAGATCGGTCAGAGGAATGCCAACGCTACGAGCGAGAGTTCGACTGTTCGCTTCACTGCGTGTTCAAAGTGCCGATTTATTGAGACATATCGTGTGAGCATAATAAATATATATAAAACACAACCATTAAGCTTCGTACACACGGCAATGGAAACCCATTTGACGTGTGTGCACACAACACACATAATAATTAAGTATGCCATTAATGGTGAATGTAAATTGCTTGTTACATACCAGCAGTGTCTGTTTTCTTTCATTATTTCTCATTTCACAGTTTGCATTTATTTTAATTTAATTAAAATGTTTGTCGTTCCTTTTTTGGCATTGACATACCAATACAATTTTCCATTTAATTTCATTTAGGACTGTCGACAAAGCGGAGGCAGCAGCAGGCGCAAATATTTGCCATTTACCCGGATCGTTGGGGTTGCTTTTTTTTTTGGCAAAAAGTGCAACAGCAGCGGCAGCGACAGCATATCCATATGCCAAAGGTCCTGGTAAGGATCGAAGGCCATTAATCATCGCCACATGCGACGACGACGACGACGACGACGAGAGTGTATGACCTTTGCGATGACATGTGAGTTAATTAATCTAACTGCCCAGACACAACGAAGGTCACCAGGCATAGCAATTAAACATGGCAGCTGATGATGAAGGGAATCCGAATCCTCTCCACCGACACCACCGCCGCCTCCTTCCGCCATTTACCTTGGCCAGACGCATAAATTTCAATTTGCAATGCCATGAGCCCTGGATGCCCCCCCATCTATGCATTTAAATTGATGGCCGTTGTGTGCTGCTGCATATGCGAAAAGTTGTTCGCGCCACGCCCCAATGCGCAATTAGCGGACCGCGGCCCATAAATAATTTCCACCGAAAGCCAGCGGGAAATGGAAAACGTAAGGCGGAAATGATTGCCCAGAAGGGCGAATAAACAGATGAGCGTCCCTGGCATTGGGCTTAAATATTCACAGCGCGACTATAGTGTGTGACAATTGAATGGAAGTCGGTGAAAATGCAGTTAAGAGGAGACATCCAATCCGCAGGATTCAAAATCCATCACGTGACGTTAGCCGGCATCACGTTCAGTCCTTGTACACGCGGCGTATGCTTAATATATTTTGGCTTTGAACAACTGAGCCAGATCTGGGGAAATTCTATGAATTTTAAGCATTCCATTTGCCTGGGATAAATCCGGCTTTCTATAGTTTTGGGCTAATAAATCGCGGCGGCGGCTTTTGTCTGTGCACCTTTGTTGAAAACTTTCTTCGAGGACTCTCGTTCGCCCCCTGCCCAGGACTTTTAATTATGCAGTTCAGCTCATTATGCTGAAGTGACATTTTTCCAGCCCAGCGAGAGGAAAGGAAGAACGAGAGTTTTGTGGCCCAAATTGCAAACTTTATTTTATTGCAATTTTAAACTTTGCCCTTACCCAGGGAAAGTTCAGGCTAAAATATTTATATTTGCTATAGAATGCCGCCGCTGCCAGTAGTGCCTGTGCTTTGTATATGTTTATCTTCTGCTTTTTGCGGTCCTGTCCCCCGGTTAAGTGGAACTATTTGCAGCTGCTCCAGTAAACTTTACCCACTTAACAGGTCATAGAGTTGCGATCCCAGGACATGGTCCTGCTGCTAAGCTAACAGCATCTTAACAGAATCCTCTCCTCTCTCTGCGATGTCCTGCTCTCTCAGTTAAAGCTCCCCGAAGGTTAGACTTTGCTGTGTGTCTTTGCATGTCCTGCTAGTGTCTTTGCTCAGTGTGTTTGCTTTGGCCGAAGCTGTCGGCGAATTTAACGAGTCGCGTCCTTTTGGCCAGGCTTATTTAAATACAGCACGCACAGACGTCTGGCAATTTATTCCAAGTTCGGCCGGCTTTTGTTGCACTTGGCGGCCGCTCGCGATCTCAAGTCGGAAATCGCGTGCTATAACAATAAAATGTGAACAATTCGGTTTTAAAAATTATATGTGCCAGGTAATGGGAGAATAAAGTAGAGTAAAGCGAAAGTTTGGTGAATGTTAAGCCGGGTTTTCAGACAACAAAGAAGGCTAAGAAAGCTGAGCCTTTTAAAGAAAGGTTCTTTGTGCGGTTTTAGCTTATTTTTTAAGGTTTATAAAATATTTAATGAATAATATAGACACTAAAAATTATACACCCAACTTAATTTAGGGATATAGAATGCAAAAAAAATATAAAATAAACTACAGAGGCATTTGATATTGTTAAATTACAATGTTATTCGCCGTTAAAAAGTTAAAAAACAATTATTAATCCTTTTTAAACTATAAACAAATTATTTCACAATTTAAATACGGCTTAAAACTAAGATTCAATTCAATTAACTTATTTGCTATATATTATTAAAATTCCAATAAACAGAAACAATTTTATATTACTTAATAACAAATTTATTTGGTTTCATAAAACCAAGAAACATTTTTAAAAATATTTTTTACTATAAATAAAATTAAATTACAACTTAAATAACACATAAAAATAAAATTTCCTGTATTAAAATAATTTCATACACATGTTTTTTTATAGTAAACAAAAAGAATACTCATAAAAACCTGAAAACAAAAGCTAGTTTCCTCCTCTAACCCAGCTTTATTTCACAAAAGGCGTTCCTTTGTTTATGTTTGCCTTAAAATAAAAGCATTTTGTAAATGGTAAAACTTTTTTTAAAACAAAAAAAAAACCCAGCCAAAGGCCGAACATTGATTTTCTCCCAAAAACATTTGTGCCGAGCAAACTACATACATTTGGCCGAAATAACCATAACACAAAGTTTGGTAGTTGTGTTAGGCATTCTCCCCCTCTCCCTTCTCAAAAGTGCCATACAGAATATTTCAATTATCTTTGAAATTTGCCTGGCTTGTCGTAAATCATGCTCTCCAACTACCACCACAGCCAGAGCCAGTCCAAGGAGTCCAGACGTGAGACGTGAGACGACAACGTTTCCGAGACCCACAAAACACAACAAATGACAGAAATGAATGCAGCGGCGGCGGCTGCCTCCGAGGAGACAAAGGAGGGTGGTGGAATGCCAGCAGAACCAGAACCTGAGGCAGTAGCCGTACCTGAGACCGAGGCGAAGCCTGCAGTGCCACCGTCCAGGCAGCGTACCCTTACGCGCACCGAGGAGATGGATGCGGATGGCGACGATATCGAGCTGGATCCGGATGGGGACGATGCCGCGGACAGCATCACCTTGGAGCTGGCCTTATCACCGCACAGCAGCACGCCCACGCCGCCACCGACCACGGCGGACGAGGACTTTGCCCAGCTGGACAACAGCAAGCCCTTTAAGGTATGGTATCCATGTCCCATGTGCCAACCTTTGGTGGCACACGCTGACCAGTTCGTTAAGTGATTACAGCGGTGCTATTGTTAAGCTTAAAGGAAAAACAAGGACAAAAAAAAGAAAATGGTTGAAAAAAGTTTGAAGTGGAACCCTTCAGTTCTCCGGCGGCCACTTCAAAAAGCTCCGACATTGAGTAGCCTCATCGACATTGGTGCTGCTGCCGTTGAAGTGTTGCTGGCGGTGCTTTATACGCCCTTTAAGCATTCAGCCAACTTTTCAATCCGCTGAAAAAGCAGTTGGGGAGCACAGAGCAGAGGTCCTTCCCTCTTACTGCCATAGAGCAGAGGTCCTTCCTGCCAAACTCTATTTGGTTCTATAAAGGTTTCAGGCGGACAGCCAATTTGGTGCACAGGGGAAAAGTCCAAATAATTTGATTAGTTTACCTTTTTGGCAAGGGAATATTTTAGTTTATCTCAAAGGGGATTTTAAATAGCAATTTAAATTAGTGCTTTTATAAAGGAATATTAAAAATTGTATTAATTAGCTTGGCTTTCATTTTATAATAAAAATGTATAGCATAGGTTACATTTTGTGATCTTATTTATATATTTAAAATGTACATGTTGTTTTTAGACACATTTTAAAGGGATTTAAAAACCCCTGGGATTCGTGAAGTATCCAGGAATATTTGAATTGTATTCCTACTGTGATTAAATCACTTTTTAATTTATAAAAATCTTTTATTTCTATTCAAACTTATTTAAAAATAAATAAAGTAAACTAATATTGAACCCATCAAAGTATTTTTCCAGCCAAAAAATCAGGCAGAAAAATCAAATCCAATATAAACCTCTAGCTTTACTTCTCTTAATTCCCTTCTACCATTTAAAATTTTTGTTTCTGTGTGCGGCTGGGCAACAATTGAAATTTAATTAAAATGTTCAAACTGTTCGAACCCGTCTAGGCTGAAATAGTAGCATCCGCATGCGGGCGCCAAACTGGCTCGTATATCACAAGAGTCCACCCACCATCGCCACTCAGCCGTATCCCTCATCATGCCGCCAATCACCTCCAGGAGGAGCCACGCCCACATTTAAGCCACCTAGACTGGGGGGGATAAGGCGATAAACGATAACGAGGCGACGGCGTCTGGCGGTGGGGCTGCATCCTAATCGATTTATTGTGTGCTAACGGCATTAAAGCCACCGCCATAACAATATATATCGGCCGTAAGATCAGCATCTGGCCGGCTGAATTGATGATGAGCAGCCCGTCAAGTGGCTGGCTGTAAATTTTCCAGGCGAGAAGGATATAGCAGGAGGGGAGCAATTAATTGGCAGCTCGATGTTGCCGAAACGCGATGTCATTTGTCAGTGACAGGGCTCGTGGCTGTTGATGAGTGAGCGCGGGCCACGCGTCGTATAAGTAATTCATGCGCATTTCAGCTAATTAATATGCCCACAGTTTGCCTGCCATTTGACACGGGTCCCCTTGTGCCACCTACCGTATCGAAAAGGATCTGGGTAATTCAGGCCCCTAAGGCCTTGCCGCTAGATAGCTGGTATACGTAGGCCCTTTGACTAATTGCTGGGGTAACTGGAGGCGAAAGGGAATTGAAACAAGGAGGTGCTAATCCCGAAGCTATTAATATGCCAAAAACTGGTAGTAGTAGATTTTTAAATGAAGTTCCATTTTCTAAAAGCTTTTGATTTATACAAAAACCTGTTTGATTTTAAGCCTTATTGATTGCCCAACTAAGCCAATTTAATTGGTTTTGGCTTTGGCCTTAGGAAAACTTATTTGCCATTTCATTTTTATTTAAAGAAAAATATCTCTACAGCAACATATTTGCTCATACAATTTGTGCAAGGATGAGTTTTTAATTGTATTTATTTCAAGAGTCTCACTTCTTATTTTCCTTTCTGGCCAGAAGGAAATTCAGTGGTGGCCCAGCAATACATATTTCTGGTGCTGCTGCTGAAAGGGAATTAAATTCCGGAAAAACAAATCCCATTGGGTTTCCCTGGGTCCCACAATTTTCTCTCAGGCTAACGCGTAAATGCGTTTTCCATGTCACACAGTCGTTCGGAGAGTTGTCCACCTATGTGGTCTACCTTTACGTATATGGTATGTACGTAAGGATTCCGGAGAATGCAAAATGGCTCAAAAATAAAGTCGGTTCAGCCACAAAATGAAGAGATCCTTGGACGAGGAGGTGGCGAAAATTAAATTACCAACAGAAGCATCCGCACCGGCAAAACAAACAATGGCGGCGAAAGCAAACATTTTTGGTTGAATACGCCTTGTTGAGACATTGCGTATACGCCACGTTGCGCATTAAGGCAAATAAACGAGCATTATTCATGTCCAGGCAGGCGTACAACTTGACAACGCCCCAGAAGAGCCAGACAGACAGATGTAGCCGTAATAAGTAAGCTAATAAGTACGTGTAAGTGCGGAATGCGACAGCAAGTATGAAAGCAGCTGAGAACTCATCACGGCCCACGACATTCGAATGACTGAATGATGCTAATGATTTTCAGGAGGACACTGAGGGAAAATTTTGAAATTTTTTTATAATTACTGCCAAGTGTGCAAGTTAGAATTCAAAGTTATTTCTTCATTTAACCAATTCTAACAGGCTCTTATTTTTATATAAAAATTTCTTAGAATTTCCATAAAATTCCTTAGATTTCCTTTCTCTCTGCACACCTCCTAGTGTTACCCTGACATTTTCATGACAATCATGGGAAATTAGTGCGTCAATGTCTCCGATAAATGCCATGAAGCGAGCGAGAACTGCTGGACAATGGTCACCGCAGGCACACATCAAAGCAATTTCGGCTTCAGGGCCTTGGGCCATTGTATATTATCGAGGCTTCCATTACCTTAGAGCCGGGAATGGGTTTTCGGTTTGGGTTTGGGTTTCACCTCCCCTAGCTCCCCCTCCATTGTGATGGACTTCAATTTGTAGTCTATAATTGCTGACATTCGCCCGTAATTTGCATTTCCTGACCAGGCCCTAAGTGCTATTAGGACAACAGATTCCCGGACACACTGCAGCAGCAGCAGCAGCAGCAGCTCTTTGCTGGCCTCATGGCGAATTCATGACTGCACCTCGGCTCGACCCATTGTCCTTGTCACGCTCCTGGCTTGTTTGTCGCCAGCTTCACTGAGGCTGCTCCTGATGCCGCTGCTTCTGCTAAGCAAACGAGGAATTTACAGGGACAATATTGACGTTAGGCGATGGCAAACAAAAATGCGAGGGCAAATTCCCCAAAAGCTCAGCCCGCACACACGGTTGTAAATATTTACGTAGCTATGCCTATGCCTGTTCCACTGAATCCTTGTTCCGGTGGGACAACAAGGACCCTAAATTCGCTGAAAGGTGAAACCGCAAATCAGGGCGAGAAACACCGAACTGAGTGCAACATGATGGAAGCAATTTGCTTCGCTTTCGTGACCAAAAATCAGAGTTCAATGGTGGCCACTTGGAAAGCGAAAATACACATTGTTGAGCTGGCTGGCACTGGCGGTTAAGAAAGCCCAGTTATAATGACTTTTTGGCCCCACACACAAAGGCGAAAAACTGGCAAAAAGCAAACAAAGCCGCCGGGCATTGGCATCTGGCCCCAGACTTGGTGCCGCTACTGATTGAATAGTTTCCCAGGGACCAACGAGACTCGAAAAGGGAAAATACTCGTTGTGGCAAGTGCGGCTTTAATGGGTGGGCACGCACCCGAACCCAGTCTCCCCATTGAAATTTCGCATTAAATGCACGATAAACTTTCATTGTTGTTGCAGACTTTCCGCCAACTGAGCAGGAGTCGCCAGACTCCGGCCAGACGTAATGGCGTTGGCCATTTGATGGATTCCCTAAGCATCGTATAATTGGTTTAGCAGACTGTCCCAGACGGGTTGATGGATGTGCAGTTGGTAGAGGATTGTGTACGCTGATGATTCACATTCAGTTTCAGATTAAATGCCCACAAAACCGCTTGACAGTTGGCTGTCAGGCCAGAAGACACCTGAAGATCTGTCAAAAAAGAGGGACACCTCCTTGGGCGATTTATCAGAGTTTCTGGGCGGCCAAGGGGCGGATACGCAATGTCCACATAAAGAAGGCGTTGGCAACTTTTTGACTCCGGGACCCTTTCCCAGCTTTTCTCGCTTTCTTTTTACCTTTCGCTTGACCCACCCACCCAACCATTCATCCAGTCATCCATCCAACCATCCATTCTCGTCCTTGTTGGAGCCTCTTTGGCATCGACAGCATTATGCTTTAAATATTTCAGTAGCAATCTTTTAGGCCCAACAACGGGCCAACGGAGTGGCTCAAGCAAATGGCTTGGAGAAAAAGGTAAAAAGAAATATAAATATAATCGACATGCCTGGGCCAACCTGTGCCTTGACCTTCCGCCCATTGTCTGGGGCTTTATTGTTATGGCAAATGATAAATTGATTATTTGTAGCTGCCGCTGGCTTTCCATTCAGCTGGCAACTCCCTCTCCAAAAATGTATATGTATTGCCTTTACAATTAACCTGATTTTTTTTTCTATACTTATTCTTATCGTTGCCGCCGCGCTTCGTTAACTTCATATTGTTTTTGATGGTGGAAAAGGAGGGTTGGGTGGTGGGTCTGCTGCCTTAAGGGGCTTTGGTAAATTAAAGCAAACAAATGTTTAAGGCTTTTGTTTGTTGTTGTTTCGCCAAGAGAGAGAGAGAGGGGGAAGAAACAATTGACATTGGCAAACATTTCCTGGCTAAGAAAACCTTCTACATTAATTACACCAAAATAAGGCTTAATGGAAATATATTTCTGAAGCTTAATAATCCTCCTTTATTGTCACCCACCAATTTGAGGCTTGTCAGCTTGAAATTCCTAGTAATCCTTCGCCACATTTTCAGATCAAGGACATCACACGAAATATACGCAAGGCGGTGGTGGCCACAACCCTTTCGGAGCTGCGCGTCAAGGTATCTGCGAAATTCGAACGAAATCAGCCGGCGATACACCTGGATTGCGATGGCACCGAGGTCGATGACGAGGAGTACTTTAGCACTCTGGAGCCAAATGCCGAATTGATTGCCGTCTTTCCCGGCGAGCAGTGGCGCGATGTGAGTGGTTGTGCCCGCCCCTATATCCTTTATCCCTTATCCTGGCTTTGGCTTAAACCCGCTTCTCCCCCCTTTCCCTCTCTCTGCAGCCCAGCGACTATAATGCCAATCTGCGTCGCACATCGCTGGATGCTCAGCGTCTGCGGCGACTGGTGAGCAAACTGCAGCCAAACTATATCAACGATGATGACTTAGACAAGCTGTCGAACATGGATCCCAACTCCCTGGTGGATATCACAGGACGTGAGCCCAAGGACAGCGAGTACTCCTCAAGGAGCGATGCGGCACGCAGGTCCACAGAGCTATCCTGTTAGGATATTTGGACATTTTTTAGAGTAAACGGAGCAGGAGGAGGAGCTATGTATATATGGGAATTTGTACGAGTTTATGAGTCAGAAAGAAATGTTGGGGTATTTTTGGAAAACGTTTTGATGGCAAACATATTTGAAAGGGTTTAACTCCGCCTCCGTATAGAGCAGATTTAGAAAAAGTTGTGTATTTTTCGAGCCCACATTGTAGACGCCAACCTGAATGTCTATTATCAGCCGCTAATTGTTCCTAGACCAATAGCTGTGTAACGAGCCACAATCTGGAGAGCCTCAAAGGTCCATCTCCAGTCCTAGATGACCTCACCTCACCTCCTCACAACCTCTCTCTGTATATCCCCTTCAGAGGAAGATCAACGAAGTGCAGCTTAGAGTTTAGAGTCTGTCTAAGCTTGTAGGTATTAATAAATGAAATAAATTAAATAAATATATTATATATTTTCCATAGCAAAGTCCTTGTGAATGATGTCACACAGAAACAGTTTGGGTTGTTAGGGAGCAAGTACGATTTTACCATAATTGAATCTCAATTAAATCAATTAACAATTGAATAAACGTTTAACACACAAATCCACACACACGGCACACAAAGAAACGTTTTCACATTTTTTTCGTCGTTTTAATGCTGCATCAATGATCCAGGCACTATTTGTTGCACTAATCGAAGGGTTATAGGAGCCCGTATTTAACTCGATTTACATTTACGTTGGAATCAATTGGCAATTGGAAATTGTAATTTGTGACTTGTAAAAACAAAAACGAAACGAAAAACTGAAAATAAATAAATGGATAAATGTGTGAAAATTACTTTTTATGGAAACATTTAACATAAGAGGTGGGGGGTAGTGAAGGGGATTTATTTTGGCCATTTTTCTCACTTTTTCAAGGCTAAGCAGCTGCCGACTGAGGAAACTTTTGCGGAAATAATCGAAGATATCCATCAGCTTGGGCAGTTTTCAATCCCCTTATCGATTTGCTTGGTAAACACCATCAAAGCTTAGCCTTAAAGTATCCATTTCAAGGGTTTCCTGAACTTAAATTCTAGTTTTAATTATGCCAAAAGCTTGTGCTCCTCCATTCATAGGCACTTCCCTTTATTAGCTTACCATTCCAAACCCTGGCCATGCCAGACATTTTTAATTTCAATTTCCTCTGGTCAGTAGCAGCAGCAGCAGCTCATTCCTCGAATAGAAATCAGAAAAGGATAAAGAAGAAGGATTCGACTATGTGAAACATGGCCAACATAGTTCACTCGCTCAACGCCCCGGGTGTTCCTAGTTTTCGTATTCATGTTAAAGTTTCCCTTTCAGCTGGTTTCGGGGGGAAATCCCTGGCAGGCGTTGAAGTTTAAATGAAATCGAGATGGACAACAGTAGATTTTTATTTTATTTTTTTGCCCATAACAATCACTCAAATCGGAAACCACCAAGGACCTGGGCCACAGAATGCGACGTATTTTTAATACGTTTGATAACTGGGCCCTGAACAATGCCGAAATGCCAAAATGCGAGAAGGAAGTGTGTTACACATGGCTGACTGTGGAAAAACACCGGGAAAAGCTGACAGATAAAGGCAAAATGTCAGCCATTTCGTTACGGTCAACCTTCGGTATGATATATATACTTATATCTGGGGACATATTGGTGTGTGTGTGTGTTTAGCTAAGAAACTCTGTGGCCAGGCAACTTTCTCTGCTGAAACCCGAATAACTTCGTATCTGCCACCTGAGCAGGTGTGGCAAATATGGTTATAGCCGCCAGTTGCGGCTTACATTAACAACCTGGCAGATTTATGCTCCAGTTATGCACTTCCTGTTGGTGGCTCTTAACAGCTCATCAGGGTCTGAGTCTGGGAATTTCCAACACCTGAGCTCCGCCACGAAAAGTCCTTGGCTTAGCTGGGCTCTTTGCCAGTCGCGCAGCGGAAATGTCATTGTTGTTTCGGAATCAAACGCATTAAAAATTTATTGAATTCATTTTTATGAGTTCTCTGCCCTTGCCTCAGTGGGTTTTTCCTGGTCCTCCTCCTCCTTCTGCTCCTTGTGACACTGCACTTAAGCTTTCCTTTTCCACTGAGTGCCGCTCCGTGCATGTGTAGGAAAGCAGATGGGAATGAGGATGGGGAATCCTCCTTCCTTATGCAGCTCCTTGTCTGTCCATAAAAAGCACTAACAGAGCCAAATCCTGGCACTCGGCAAATGTCAATCAAGAGCAATTATCAGGATTCAAAGATTTCAGCAACTCGCAAGCAGACATAAATGAAGGGGAGCAGAGGAAGAGGAGCTCTTTAAATATATACCGTTTCCTACTGTTTCCATTTCATTTTATTCATTCGTTATACAATTCGTTCTAGCAACTAAAGAAAATAATAATAATAATATGCAAAAAGTTATGAAAATAATCGAGGGAAGGACGTAAATGCTCATCGACTCGCGCAGCTCCTGGCGAATTTCGGGCGGGGGGGAAAATCATAAATGAATAACAATTTCCGAATAACAATATCAGGATAAGGAGTCCGGGTGTTGCCAGGATGCTGGTCAGTAGACAAACTTCTTCTGTTCGCCATACAGCTGCTCATAGAGGGACGGAGGCAGATGCTCGGCCAGGAAGATCTGCAGCTTCTCAGTGGTGGTCACGGGCGTATAGCGGGCCATGGGGAAGGTCCTGGTCACGGCATCGATGAGGACGCGCAGCGTGGGCTGGATGTCGGATGCCTGGGTGGGGATTAAACGCTCGTTAGCCAATGGACACACGTAGAGACTGTGTTTCACTCTCTTACCTGGCGGGAGTACTTCTCCACCGATGTCATGGCAGCCTCATAGTAATCCTCGCCGTAGGTCTTCTTCTGCTCCGAGGAAAGCGCGTTCCACATTTGCTTGGCCTGGGACAAGGGGGAAGGGAATAAAGCCAGTTCGAGTTAATGAGTTCTGTTTTAGTTTCCCCCCTCATCCAGAAATAGTTATTGTATCATAAAAAACTAAAAGCATAACAGGGCTTAGTCACAGGGAGAGAAATGGGAGACTTTTCAGGGTGTTCCTTTAATATTTTAGGAGATGTTGAAGTAGAAGAAAGGTAAGAAATGTCCTGCATTTGGAGAGGTAATAAGTAAGTTGTGAATAAAATTCTATGAAATTATTAGAGCTATAAAAAACAGCTCCCTTGAAAGCTTACAAATAAATATTACAACCTTAAATATTAAAACTTAAAACCTTAAGAAATACCTATTTACTTAGAGTATTATTCTCTCCCTTAAATATTTGCATTGTTGCTTCAAATAGAATTCCCGAAAGATCCAAATATATACTTCTTCCTATTTTTTTTCTCCCTGCACACCCATTAGTTCGCCCACCATAAGTCCCAATGCCAGTCATTAGCTTCTTTTCTCACCTGGTCGCGCAGCTCCGTCTCGTTCAGCCAGCCATTGCCGGGCGAAAACTCGCCGGCCGCCACCACGGACACATCCACGCCCCGGGTACGCATCTCCTGGCGCAGACAGGCGGCAAAGCAGTCAACGGCCGCCTGGGTGGCATTCTGGATGCCCCGCACGGGCGATGGGACCCGGTTCAAGCCGGAAGTGAGGAACACCACACGACCATGGGCACGACGGACCAGTGGCAGGAAGATTTGGGTTAAGCGGGCGACACCTGGATTGAGAGAAAAGGAAAATTCAAATACTGCAACCCTGACTATAAGCGCCACTTTGACTCACCTAGCAGGTTGAGGTCCAGGCTCTTGCGCAGCACACCGAATGGAATCCATTCGAGTTCGCCCAAAGCTATCCAGTGGGCGCAGTGTACCACAGACCAGAGTCCTTCGGCGCCATGTGGCAGGTGCTGGGATACATAGCGGGCAGCTTCCAAAAGCTAAGGGAAAAACGGATAAAGGATAAAAAGGATATGGGTGGAAATATTAACTAAAAGCTTGAGAGCTGAAAGCTTCGACAACTTACGGTCTTCTCCGAGGTGACGTCCACATGCAGCAGCTTCATGCGTCCCGAGGTCTCTTCCTTGAGTATCTTGGCCTCGTCAGAGTCCTCGATGGGCGTGTTGAAGCCAGCATAGACGGTGAAGCCGAGATCATCCAGTTTCTTGGCCAGATACCAGGCCAAAGGAGCCTCGCAGCCGGTGATAAGGACGCCCTTGCCAGAAGCGGAAACCTAAAAGGGGAAGAAAGTAGTGTACGAAAATTAATATCATTAAATTTAATAACTGTAAAATTAATTGAAGCCTATTTTAAATATGTTATATGTTTTTTTTTAATGCATATAAGCATGAGAATCTCAAAACGTTTTAACTTTACAAAGAAGAAAAGGTAAAACAAGAAAACATAAACCTTAATTGCCTTTAATTTTCAAGATAAACCTTTTATAAATCATAAAATATATGTCTTATATTATTATATATTATTTATTATATTTTAAGATCTATCTTTTCAGACTAGCGTTTAAACTAAAAATGTCTTTCTAGCCAAGGATAACACCTAACTCCCCACTTGAAGTCACTATAAAACTGAAATCCATTTGGGTTTCCTTAAATAAAATACCAAGAACTAGCTTTATTTTCCCTGTGTTTCCCTACAAACTCAAATCAGAATAAATTAAGCACTCTTCTATTTTTGGCCGTGTAATTAGCCAAGGTAAACGAATCAATGCTGCGGCTGTTCAACTCTTCTGCCAATTAAGGTTCAATAATTGTAACGCCAATTAGACAGCAGTGTGTTTTGTGCGACAGGGTATCGGGTTTTTTAATTATATGTATATACCCAAAGGAGCCTTGTCAGATGTTTGACCTTTTGGCCCACACCCGAAATAAAGTGACGTTTGTGGGCTTTAAGACCGGCGGCCACTTAAAAAGTCGAGTCACAAACTGGGCTTAGAGGGCAGCCGCCAGTTGGCAACTTTGTCAGCGGCGATTAAAGTTTATTTTCTCTCTCCAAGAGCCTGGCCTGCTTTCGATTTCAAAGCGAAAGTCCAGAGAGGAACAAGGAGTGGAGAATGTGGAGTCTCCGTCTCCGAATGGAATGGGATGTGTGTGCTTTGGGCTGGGGTGTCACAGATATTTGTCTGGGAAACGACGTCCAAGACGACGACGAGGATGACGACGATGATGAAGACGCTGGCAAGTTGAAGTGGGCGAGCAGGAAGACGTGTGCTCACTAATACTTCCGCTTTAGACACGCGCTCCAGTCAATACAGCAGGACATGGAGTGGGATGGGTCGGGTCTAGGGATTCTGTGGGCAGGGATAGTGTCATAATTCATCATGCCATTAACCAATATAGTTCGCCGTTCGCCTCAAGTGGATGTCTCTAGTGTGCGTCAGTCGAAGGACTCGAAGGGAATAGGCAGCCGGAAAAGGGAAAGGGGAGTGAGAGCTGGAGGTGGCTACTCATTGTTCGGGCTATTAAACCGTTATAAAGTGCTCGTAAAAATTGTTGAAAAAAAGCAAAGAATGAAAGAAAGCGGGCCAAGACGGGTGTATTATTATTGGCCATGCTGTTGACACCCATTAAGACTGGCCGACATTTTATTGTGGCCATAAGTGTTTGGCTTATCGAAATCTGTTGGCCGTTGTTTGGCGTTAATAAAAACACAAACACTCGTGGGCGAAAGACCACTTCCCCAGCTCCTGATCAGACTTCTGCTCTTCCTCCAACTCCTCCTTCGACTCCTTGTTCGACTCCTGTCTCTCTAAGTTTTCTCGACAAGTTATGT